GTTGGGTTGGAAATATATTTGGCCTTTCAAGGTCCGTAAAATCTTGAATGACGTTGCCAAGCTTTGTTTCAGTAACCAGAAATAATATGGCCACTCTGCATTGGCGTAAACACAGCCATACCCTGGGACTGTAACAGAAGATGACACAGTCATCTGGTGCTTCTTAGGCATGTCAAGCTATTTAACTCTGTCTTCACAAAGCCAACACCAGCTTGTGATATGAAGCATTGGTCCACAGCTGAAGTTGCAACTAGTTCCAGCATACCAAACAAAGTTCCAAAGACTTGGGGGTGGGGAAATGAACCTGAAAAATCTTTAAACTCTCTATTCATAATCCTTACATTTTAAAATGGAAAGCTGGGTTTTACTTCTAATGCCTCTGCAGTGTAGCACTTAATATTTTTAGCCAGTTCCAACCCACTGATTTCAGTAGACTGATATTTCTTTTTGACTAAAGAGCTGAAATGAAGTTGGAGAACCAATTCTCAATTTTCCCCTCTCCCTTAACACTAAATAATATATATGTTGGAATTCTCTACAGAGGGATGGGTTTTTTAAAAAATCTGCCCTGCCAAGCCTGCTTCTACTTCTAATTTAATGTTCCGGAGTGGGGCTTTTATTAGATGAAGGATTCCCTCTACTTATTCAGTATACGGCGCTCGATTCTGTATGGCTTCCGCATGCAGGGCCGGCTCTATCACTAGGCCTGCTAGTATCTCGCCTAGGGTGGAGATACTAGCAGGGAGCCAATTCCCTGCTGCCGCCCCCACCAAAGCCCCCACCCTGCCCAAAGCCACCCGCTGCTCCTTTCGTCGCGGTGGCGGCACGGCGGCAGCACGCATGCTGCTCTGCGCCGGCCGCTGTGTGCCCTTGCCAGCTCCTGGGGAGTGCTCAGTGGACTGCCCGGAAGGGGGCGTGGAGCCTCTGGAGCCCGCCCGCCTGCCCCCTTCCCACGTGCAAAAGCGCCCCGGGGCTCCGCAGCTGCTTGCCAAATCGGGCTTCCGCAGCAGGGACCGGGGGGGCGAGGCTGACTGGACCTTCGGGGCTGGCTCTCAAACCAGGTAGGGGATGGGCCGAGGGGCCTCCGGCCTCCTCCTTAGCAAAAAAGCCACCTGCTACAGGTGGGCAGGCAGGCAGGAGGAGGCGGCGGGGAACGAAGCCCTCTCTCGGCTTCTGGGACCCAGCTGGGAGGTCTCGAGGCCCTACCAGGAGGTTGGCATCTGATGGGGGATGCCACGAGGCAGCCTGGTCTAGGGTGCTGAAACCCCTTGGGCTGGCCCTGGTTGTGAGCGAGCGATTTGGCCGCTGCATAAATTAGTTGGCTCTGGAGCCCTCCTTCCTGAGCTAAGACAAGAATGGGTGAGCCGGAGGCTAAAAAACTGAGCTAGCTCATACTAACTCAGCTTAGAGGGAACACTGCCTAGAATCTAGACTAGGGGTGTCGAACTCATTTGTTATGAGGGCCAGATCTGACATAAATGAGTCCTTGTTGGGCCGGGCCACGTGTGTCATAAAATGTAATGCCAGATTAAGGTTAAGGTTCCCTTGCTCGAAACCCAGTTGAATCCGACTCTAGGGTTGCGGTGCTCATCTCTGTTTCAAAGCCGAAGAGCCAGCGCTGTCCGAAGACGTTTCCGTGGTCATGTGGCCGGCATGACTAAACACCAAGGCGCACGGAACGCTGTTCCCTTCCCACCGAAGTGGTACCTATTTATCTTCTTGCAATTTCTTGCTTTCGAACTGCTAGGACACAGACACAAAGGGTTTTTTAAAAATTAAAAGAACATGCTTAGAACATGAGCACCCTTGCAATATTTTGTTTATTTAACAGTGTCTGATAACGGGCACCTCTTGCTCTGAATTATGGCATCAAAATGTCTGTGCTGTTGCAATCTTGAGTATGCTGTTCAGGTGTGTATCTGTAAGCTGCAAACCTACGATGACGCAGGAGCAGCAGAACTGGAAGAATTGAAAGAAGCAGCAGAAGACAGCCAGTTCCACTGCGGGCCTGAGAGAAGCCCTCCGGGGGCCTCGTCCGGCCCCCAGGGCGCATGTTTGGCACCCGTGATCTAGACTGTCTGGAAAGTGTGCAGGGCGTTCGTTGCCTGCCTTCCGTTGTCCTTTTAACCTGACCCACTCCAGTTGACTTTTCCGCCTCTCCCTCAAACAAACCACTGTGAGACATATACCCACAGATTAGGTTATACGTTGCTGGAGGGAAGGAAAGATCAGAAGGAGGTGGGGCAGAAGCTACACCAAAGCCTCAGAGGGAAATTTTGAAAGCTTGATTGAGAACAATGTTCCCTCTAAGCTGTAGAGTCTTGTGAGCCAAAATTCCACTTTGTGAGCTACTGGCATTAAAGTTGTGAGCAAGCCACTTGGCTCTACTGCATGAATCAGTTTGCTCTGGAGCCCTCCTTCCTGGGCTAAGACAAAAATGTGTGAGCCAGTGGCTAAAAAACTGTGAGCTAGCTCACACCAACTCAGCTTAGAGGTAACACTGATTGAGAACTGAGCTCTCTCTAACCAGGCAGCCAACATGAAAGTACTCATGTTAAAGTAGCATAAGGTGAATGACCCAAGGTCACCCCAGCAGCTGCATGTGGAAGAGGAGTGGGGAATCAAACCCGGTTCTCCCAGATTAGAGTCCGTGCACCAAACTGGCTATCGCCTTCCCTTCCTCTCCCCACAACCGTCACCCGCCGAGGTAGGTGGGGCTGAGAGAGCTCTGAGAGAGCTGTGCCTGACCCAAGATCACCCAGCTAGCTGCATGTAAAACAGTGGAGAATTGAACCCGGTTCTCTAGAGTGTGCTGCTCTTGACCACTGTACAACACTGGCTCTCAAGAGAGATGGGGGAGCTGCAGATACGCTGGGGGCAATGCTCCCTCTAAGCTGTCGAGTCCTGTGAGCAAAAATTCTACTTTCTGAGCTACCGACATTACAGTTGTGAGCAGGTTATTTGGCCACGACATAATTTAATTTGCTCTGGAGCCCTCCTTCCTGAGCTAAGACAAAAATGCGTGAGTTGGAGGCTAAAAAACTGTGAGCTGGCTCACACTAACACAGCTTAGAGGGAACACTGATTGACACACTTCTGTAAAGTTTGTGCTGCCAGATGTAATTGACATGTCGCCGCAGTTTAAGAAGAAGAAGAGGAGATTGGATTTATCCCCCGCCCTTCACTACCCGAAGGTGTCTCAGAGTGGCTTACAAACTCCATTTCCCTCCCCCTCCCCACAACAGACACCCTGTGAGGTAGGCGGGGCTGAGAGAGCTCTGACAGAAACTGCTCTTTTCCAAGGACAGCTCTTATCAGAACTGCAGCTTGCCCAAGGTCATCCAGCAGCTGCAAGTGGAGGAGTGGGGAATCAAACCCAGTTCTCCCAGATTAGAGTCCGCGCCCTTAACCACGACACCAGACTGGCTCTCTACACCAAAATTCACACTTATCTACACCAGAATGCACACCTCTACACCAAAATGCACACTAAATTTGGTAATTGGCATATCATTGTCGTGCGATGCTGATATACCAATTATCAACTTTTTTAAAAAAAAGCCCCAAATGACCTTCCAGTGACCCGGCAAGTACATTGTGTGGGAAACTCCCACGAGGATGCTCTGTTGCATAAGCACTTGTGGCGCCGACAACAGGCACATGGAAAACAATTGCGGTGTGGGATGTGGCCCCTGAATATTTTGGGTGTGTTTTTGGAGAGCTGACAGACTCTGTGTCACCTCGGTGTCTTTTTCACTGTATCCGAGGAAGCGTGCGTGCACACGGAAGCTCACGCCTTGAATAATCCTTTGCGGGTCTTAATGGTGCCACCGGACTCCAACTTTGTCCTACCGCTTCGGACCCACACGGCTACCTACCTGGATCTGTGTGTCGCCCGTGGCCCTCTTTCCCTCTCGCCCACTTCTTTCGCTGACAACTCAGATATCTCCAATCCAGCAAATGAGTTTATGATGCAACTTCTGTTGGGACACGGCCCTTCCGAGAGATCAGCTTCGCTCCTTCCCATTTGCAAGGCTGTTTGAGTCTCCTCTCTCCTCCAATACGTAACTCATTAAGTCAAACATGCTCCCGTGGCTGCCGCACGAGCTGGCCAAATTCTGCAGGGGTGTCTGGTCACGCAAGCCCGTTACGGGCGACCCAACTGGGTCTTGCGGGCACCTTCGACGCTTCCAGATAAGCGCCGTCCTGCCCGCTTGGTTTGTGCTACGGATAAAGCAGGGGTGTCAAACATGCAGCCCGGGGGCCGGATGAGGCCCCCGGGGGCAGGGCCGGCCCCAGCTTATTTTGCACCCTTCTGGTGCCCCCCCCCCCGGTGCGCCCACCAATTTTCAAAAATAAATGCATTTTATTTATGCATTCAATTTAGGAAGAATGAAAAACACAAATAATCAAGAAACTTCCAGAGTACGGGCCCGGGTTCAGTTTGGCGCCCCAAAGGGCCATCTCGCTCTAGGCAATCGCCTAGTTCGCCTAGTGAGTGAGCCGGCCCTGCCCGGAGGGCTTCTGTCAGGCCCGCACTGGAACTGGCTGTCTCCTGCTTCTTCTTCCAGTTCTGCTGCTGCTGCGTCATCGTAGGTTTGCAGCTTACAGAGACACACCTGAACAGCCGTACTCAGGATGGCAGCAGCACAGACATTTTGATGCAATAATTAAAAGCAAGAGGTGTCAGTTATCAGACACTGTTAAATAAACAGAACATTGCAAGAGTGCTAATGTTTTAAGCATGTTTTTATTTTAAGTTTTAAAAAATCATCCGTTTGCGTTTGTGTCCTTTATAAAGTTTATGTCTCCGCTACCGGGCATTAGGAGCTGCGGTGGCTCAAGTGGTTAAGACGCTGAACTGCAGGCTATGGAAGGTCGGTAGTTCAGCAGTTCGAGACCCGGGTGCCGCATGACGGAGTGAGCTCCCGTCTCTAGTTCCAGCTCCTGCCAACCTAATAGTTCGAAAGCAAGAAATTGCAAGTAGATAAATAGGTACCACTTCGGTGGGAAGGTAACAGCGTTCCGTGCGCCTTGTTGTTTAGTCACGCCGGCCACATGACCATGGAAACGTCTTCGGACAGCGTTGGCTCTTCGCCTTTGAAACGGAGATGAGCACCGCAACCCTAGAGTCGGATTCGACTGGCTTTCGAGCAAGGGAACCTTTACCTTTACCTTACCGGGCATTACCTTTTATGACATGCATGGCCCGGCCCAACAAGGACTCATTTATGTCAGATCTGGCCCTCATAACAAATGAGTTCAACACCCCTGGGAGAAAGGGCCTTCAGAGGCAGATGTCAATCAGTGTCTCCCTCCGTACACAGATAAGCAAGGCCATGATGGTGGAAAGGAAATGTCCATAGATCGTTTCTTTAAAGAGACAGAGAGAAAGAGACGATGCTAGCAATCGATCGAGGTTTGCAAAACTGTGTTCTGAAGAAACCCACAAAGTAAGGGAAGTTTCGGGTATGTTGTAGGGCTGTCTTTCGGCTATGCTCCTGCAGAGTGCAGGGGGTTGGACTAGATGACCTGCAGGGTCCCTCCCAACTCTAACATTCTATGATTCTGTGAGCCACTGCTGAAGAGACATTTTGGGAAATGTCCTGTGGAGTTTCAAACAGCACGGCCGTAGAGTTTTACTGTTATGACCCTGTCAACAACCTCCAAGGGGCTCTCTCCGCAGATTTTATACGGCAGACTTTCTCCTTTAGTACTGGAATGGGCTCAGATATAAAACTTACGACAGGGTGGGTTTCGCATGAGTTCCTGCAGTCTCAGACTGGTGGAAGTCAGGTGCCCAAATTCCGTTTCTGCTCTAGAGTCGTCCCCACGGGGAGCAATAATCATAGAAATACACAGTTCAACACAGGCCTGCCATTTTTGGCCGCAGTTGTGTGGCGTCCTAACTTTGTGTGGAAGAAATATTAAACATGAGAGTGGACCGGATGCGATCCAGCTGTGAGTCTCCAGCCTGACGATTCCCAGATCTTCTTCCCACACTTAGCTATTCTTCCTCCGCTTTTGGTTACTTTTTAAGGGCCGCGGTGGCTCAGAGGTTAAGTCGCTGAGCTGCAGACTGGAAGGTTGGCAGTTCGAGACCCGAGTCCCGCGTGACGGAGTGAGCTCCCGTCTCTGGCCCCAGCTCCTGCCAAACTAGCAGTTCAAAAGCAAGAAACTGCAAGTAGATAAAGAGATACCGCTTCGATGGGAAGGTAACAGCGTTCCGTGTGCCTTGGCGTCTAGTCATGCCGGCCACATAGCCATGGAGATGTCTTCGGACAGCGCTGGCTCTTTGGCTTGGAAACGGAGATGAGCACCGCCCCCTAAAGTTGGATCCGACTGGCTTTCGAGCAAGGGAAGCCTTTAACATTACCTTTTAAATGTGGGCAAACGAGGTAGTTAAGGGTCAATCAGAAAGATGTCAAGGGATTTACAGCTATTCCAGGTTTTCCAGTGGCGGTCAAGAACCACCTACATTTCCAGCCTGCAAACTGTTTCTTAGAATCGTAGTACTTCTGTTAAACTATGATTAAACTGTGATGTTTGTATCTCTTTTAAAAAACCCGGATGCTAATCCGTCAGGGCTGGGCTAACGAAAGAATAACGGTCTTCCCTTGAGCTATCCAAATTCCGTGCTAAAAACAGCTGGATTGTGCAACCTGCAATATTTCTTTTTTTTCTTTTCTTTTCTTTTAATACGTTACATTTATTCTGCTTTGGCGAGCTACATGGAGGGTCGGAAAGTTATGCAGGGCTCTGAATTCTTGCCCGATTGCTGGAAATCCTATCCAGCCCCCATTGTGGCGTTTGACTCTGCTGACATACTGGGCAGGCTGTCTTGGTGCCCCTTTTGTGTGTTTATTATCCTCCAAGAATAATCATAGAATCATAGTGTTGGAAGGGACCTCCAGGGTCATCTAGTCCAACCCCCTGCATAAAGCAGAAAATTCACAAATGCCTCCCAAACACAACCCAGGTGACCCCTGCTCCATGCCCAGAAGAGGACAAAAAACCTCCACGATCTCCGGCCAAACTGGCCTGGAGAAAAACTACTTCCTGACCTACATGTTGAAGCTGGTTTGTAAGGGTTTCTTTGCTCAGTGGCTGTTTAAATTAAAATATTTATAGCCCGCCTTTCCCATAGCTGAAGGTGGCTTACAAATTCAATTTTAGAAAACCCAAATACAATAAAACTCCAAACTTATCCTAGAATCATAGAAGCAGAGTTGGACGGGACCTCCAGGGTCAACTAATCCAACCCCCTGTACAAAGCGGGAAATTCACAAATACCTCCCCACACACACACTGATGCCCAGAAGATGACAAAAAAAACCCCTTCCAGGATCCCCGGCCAAACCAGCCTGGAGAAAAATGGCTTTCTGACCCCAAAGTGTCAATCGGCATGTCCCTGGTCGTGTCAGAAAGAGCCACGAGAACTAAGTGAGGCAACCCTTCCTGCCCTCCCTTCTTGTGATCTGCCCAAGCTTGTGAGTTAAAGTGCTATCTTGTCACTTCTGACTTCTCATAGAATCATAGAATATTAGAGTGGGAAGGGACCCTGCAGGTCATCTAGCCCAACCCCCTGCACTCTGCAGGAGCATAGCTGAAAGATAGCCCTACAACATACCCGAAAGAGGGTCATCCGGCCTCCGCTTGAAAACGTCCAGCGAAGGAGCACCGGCCACCTCCCGAGGCAGACTGTTCCACTGCTCAACCACTCTGACAGTCAGGAAGTTTCTCCTGATATTTAGCCGGTATCGACTCCTTTGTAATTCCCACCCATTCGATCTAGTTTTGGGAGCTGTGGTGGCTCAAGTGGTTAAGACGGTAGTGGAAGGTTGGTCGTTCAGCAGTTCGAGAGCCGAGTGTGCCGCATGACGGAGTGAGCTCCCGTCTCTAGTTCCAGCTCCTGCCAACCTAGCAGTTCGAAAGCAAGAAATTGCAAGTAGATAAATAGGTACCACTTTGGTGGGAAGGTGACAGTGTTCCGTGCACCTTGGTGTTTAGTCATGCCGGCCACATGACCACGGAAATGTCTTCGGACAGCGCTGGCTCTTGGGCTTTGAAACGGAGATGAGCACCGCAACCCTAGAGTCGGATTCGACTGGCTTTCGAGCAAGGGGACCTTTACCTTTACTTTAGATCTAGTCTTGCAATGCAGAGCAAGAGAGAATAGATCTGCTCCATCATCCACATGACAGCCCTTCAGATACTTGAAGACTGTAATCGTAAGAACATAAGAGATACCAATGTTGGATCAGGCCAAAGGCCCATCCAGTCCAACACTCTGTATCCCACAGTGGCCAGAAATACCAGGTGCCATCAGGAGGTCCACCAGTGGGGCCAGGACATTAGAAGCCCTCCCACTGTTGACCCCCCCCCAGCACCAAGATGACAGAGCATCACTTGCCCCAGAGTCCCTATCTATATCTTGTGGCTAATAGCCACTGATGGACCTCTGCTCCATATGCTTATCCAATTCCCTTTTGAAGCCGTCCATGCTTGTAGCCGCCACCACTTCCTGTGGCAGTGAATTCCAAGTGTTAATCACTCTTTGGGTGAAGAAGGACTTCCTTTTATCCGTTCTAACCCGACCGCTCAGCAATTTCATGGAGTGCCCACGAGATCTTGTATGGTGAGAAAGGGAGAAAAGTACCTCTTTCTCTACCTGCTCTTTCCCATGCATAATCTTATAAACCTCAATCATGTCACCCCTCAGCTGTCGTTTCTCCAAGCAAAAGAGCCCCAAGCGCCTTAACCTTTCCTCATAGGGAAAGTGTTCCCTATGTGTCCCCTCTAAGCCTTCTCTTTCCCAGGCTAAACAGACCCAACTCTTTCAGCCTTTCCTCCTAAGACTTGGATTCTTATGGTGACCCTATGAATTAACTGTCCTGACCTGGATACCCTTGGCTAGCCCAGTCGTCCCACATCTGGGAAGCTAAGCAGGGTCGGCCGTGGTCAGTATTTGGAAGGGAGGCCGCCACGGAATATCGGGGCTGTGATGCGGAGGCGGGCGATGGCAAGCCGCCTCCCAACATCTCTTGCCTTGGAAACCCAAATAAAATAGTCATCATGTTCTCCAAAGCGTCCTATCGTTGCAAACTGAGGGCCTTTCTGGCTTCCTTGGTTCAGTCTTGATTCTGTCTTCCTCTTTTCCTGCTGGCTTCAGCTTTTCCTAGCGTGATTGTCTTTTCTGGGGACTCTTGTCTTCCCACAACGTGGCCGAAGTACGATAGCCTCCGTTGAGTTATTTTAGCTTCTAGAGAGACTTCAGCCTTCATCGGGACTAGAAACTTGCTTCTTCTTTTTTAAAAAAAGCAAGCAAGTGGAACTGGTCCTCCGGGTGTCCCACACGATGCTCTTCCTGCATTTAATCAAAATAAGGTGGGATAGATTCGGTGAAGGCGTTCCATCGATAGCCAAGCCAGGCCTAAATAGAGGAGAAGAAGAGGAGGAGGAGGAGGAGATTGGATTTATACCCCGCCCTTCACTCGGAGTCTGAGAGCGTCTTCCAATCTCCTTTCCCTTCCCCTTCCCACAACAGACACCCTGTGAGGTAGGTGGGGCTGAGAGAGCTCTGAGAGAACTGACTGACAGAAGAAGAAGAGGAGGAGGAGGAGATTGGATTTATACCCTGCCCTTCACTACCCAAAGGAGTCTCAGAGCGGCTCACAATCTCCTTTCCCTTCCCCTCCCCACAACAGACATCCTGTGAGGCAGGTGGGGCTGAGAGAGCTCTGACAGAAACCGCGCTTTTTCAAGAACAGCTCTGAGAGAACTGTGGCTTGCCCAAGGTCATCCAGCCAGGTGCAAGTGGAGGAGTGGGGAATCAAACCCGGTTCTCCCAGATTAGAGTCCGTGCACTTAACCACTACACCAAACAGAAGAAGAGGAGGAGGAGGAGATTGGATTTATGCCCCGCCCTTCACTCGGAGTCTCAGAGTGTCTTCCAATCTCCTTTCCCTTCCCCTCCCCACAACAGACACCCTGTGAGGCAGGTGGGGCTGAGAGTGAGCTCTCTCGAGGACTGTCCTTATGAGAACAGCTCTGGCAGAACTGTGGCTTGCCCCAGGTAATCCAGCAGCTGTAAGTGGAGGCGTGGGCGATCAAACCCGGTTCTCCCAGATTAGAGTCCGCGCACTTAAGTACTACAACTAACCGTCCTCTGCAGATCTTTAACCTCTCGCCATCATTTTAATTTGCAGCGAAATGTGGAGCGTGCGGTCCCGGGTACAAAACTCCCCTGGAAGCGATGAAAGGTAAGGGGGGGGGTCTCCTTTGGTTCGTGGGCTCTGAATATTTTTGCCCTGTGCCCAGCTTTTGAGGCTCACAGAGCAAGAGGGCCACAGATTCATTGGGATTTTTTGAACAGGAATCTAAGTGGGGGGGGGGGGTTTCCCTTTATGCTCAGCTGAAATGGGTGGTTGCCACAGACTGTTACAGGAAGAAGAGGGGGAGGAGGAGGAGGAGATTGGCTCTATACCCCGCCCTTCACTACCCAAAGGAGTCTCAGAGCGGCTGACGATCTCCTTTCCCTTCCCCTCCCCACAACAGACACCCTGGGAGGCAGGTGGGGCTGAGAGAGCTCTTTCGAGGACAGCTCTCGAGAGAACTGCTCCTGAGAGAGCTTGTGACTGACCCAAGGTCACACCAGCAGCTGCATGTGGAGGCGTGGGGGAATCAAACCCGGTTCTCCCAGATGAGAGTCGATTCTCCAAACCACGGCACCATGCTGGCTCAAGCCTTGTCTCAGATCTGTGACTGAGCTCCGGAGGCGTTTGGGTTGCCGGAACGGAGGGTTGGATCCCGATGGAACCCCTCCTCTTCCTGCTGGATGCCAAGGTGGGGAGGAAGGAGGGAGTCGTCTGTTTTGTTGAACTTCGGAGGGGGGGGGTTCACCAGAGGGAAGTGGGGTCGCCACCTCTGGATTGGGAACTTCCTGGAGATTTGGGGGTGGAGCCTGGGTTTGGGAAGGGGAAGGGAAGACTTTGTGGCGTTACACCCAAATGAGTATACGTTATACCTTTCCCCTCCCCACACCCTCCCCTCACCAGCTCTGCCCCCCAAATCTCCAGGGATTTCCCAACCTGGAGCTGGCAATCCCACTAGGGGGAGTTGGATAAACCTTTGGCCCACACCTTTAAGCCTGCCTATCTTTGTACTTCTAAAGGGGAGTGAAAAGTATGCAGACGGAGTGATTTCAGCAAAGCGTACTTTATTCAATCCGGAACAAGACGACTTTGGCCGGCTCGCAGGCCGGCTTATATCCCCCGAGAAACTGCCACCCAAAACACACAGCCCACTTCCCAATAGGTTATTTACAGTGGCCGAGAGTCCCATAGGCTCTCGGCTGGGAACCTAGCCCCCTGATTGGAGCGGGCTAGGATCCGCATAGTCTATTGTCTCTTGGAGCCAAGCTCTGCGTTTGTCTCTGGACTTGTCTGGACTGGATACATTCCAGGGAGAAACTTGCTTTTGAACCCAGACCCGGTTCCCCAACCTTTGCCTTTTCTGCATTCCCTCGTAGAAGTACTGGATCCGCGTCCAGGAGCACCTTAAAGACTTCACAAGATATTTCAGGGTGTGAGCTTCCGAGAGTCGAAGCTCCGTACCCCTCCAGGATCTTGTTGGTTTCTAAGGTGTTGCTGGACCTGAACATCGCTCTTCCTCATAGCTTCGTGAGTGGCAAGGGTGGGACACTATCACTTAAGAATGGAAGAGAACAGAAGAGCCAGTGTCGGATCAGGCCAATGGCCCCTCCAGTCCAACGCTCTGAGGAATTTCACATTACCCCTTTTAACCCGTTTTGAAGCCGTTTTTGATCCGCCGTGGAGTAAACCGGTATAGGGCTGCCATTTCACACATGGCTTTCCCCTTCCGGTAAAGAGCTGGATCTGGTTTGCCATTTCAGACTGCACCGCTTTTTCCCAGCCATTTTTCGCCCGTGCGGGCGATCTCTGGCTTTTTTTTTTTTTGAACGTTCGCTTTAGAGCGCTATAGCACTATAGCACTATAACAAAACACTCCAGGCATTCCAATGGGGTTGATATAATGCTGTTCCATTATAGCGTTATAGCGCTATAATGCTATAAAGCAAACGTTAAAAAAAAAAGCCGGAGATCGCCCGCGCGGGCAAAAAACGGCGGGAAAAAGCGCATCGGAACCGGGAGAGGAAACTGGAGACTTCTTGGAAGCGGTTGACAGGTAAAACGCTTCAGCCCCGTTTCCTAAACAGGACAGAAGTGTTTGTGTCTGAAATTACAAATATATTCCGGTAGGGAAACGGTTCTAAAACGGTTCGGTCTGAAATGACAGACCAGAAACCGTTTGGGAACCGTTCCTCTTCTGGATTATATCGTCTGTCTGAAATTCCTCAGAGAGATTCCTGTCTTTCCTCTTCCGGAATATATCGTCTGTCTGAAATTCCTCTCTGTCTCACACAGTGGCCAAAAATACCAGGGGCCATCAGGAGGTCTAGCAGTGGGGCCAGAACTCCAGAAGCCCTCCCACTGTGGCCCCTCAAGCACCAAGAAGACAGAGCATCACTTGCCCCAGACAGACTATTCTGTCTATACCTTGGGGCTTATAGCCACTTATGGACCTCCCCCAGACATAAGAACATAAGAGAAGCCATGTTGGGTCAGGCCAATGGCCCCTCCAGTCCACCACTCTGTGTCACACAGCAGCCAAAACCCAGGGGCCACCAGGAGGTCCACCAGCGGGGCCAGAACTCCAGAAGCCCTCCCTCTCTTGCCCCCGCCCCCCAAGCACCAAGAAGACAGAGCATCACTGCTCCAGACAGAAGAACATAAGACAGAAGCCATGTTGGGTCAGGCCAATGGCCCCTCCAGTCCAACACTCTGTGTCACACGGTGGCCAAAACCCAGGGGCCACCAAGAGGTCCACCAGCGGGGCCAGAACTCCAGAAGCCCTCCCACTCTTGCTCCCTCAAGCACCAAGAACACAGAGCATCTCTGCCCCAGACAGAGTGTTCCATCTCTACTTTCTTCCTAATAGCCACTGGTGAACCTCTGCTCCACATGCTTGACACAGAACTGCTTTTCTAAATAAAGTTCAGGAGGCACAGGTTCCTTAAGTGAGAAGAAACCGATGCGGCTTCTGTCAGGGAGCGGCACCTATAACTCGATCCTCTGGAGGGAAGCCAACACAAATAAGGAAATGCCCTCAGCTAAGAAGATTCTATTGTCTGCCAGGCACATTTGGGGCTTAGCAGAGATCAGGGTTTGGGATTTGAGTATCTCACGCATGTACTTGCCTTCTGCTGAGTCAAACCCTTGATCCATCGATGTCAGTCTTGTCTACTGAGACTGGCAGCCGCTCTCCAGGGTCTCAGGCAGAGGCCTTTCCCATCACCTCCCACCTTGTCATTTTTCACTGGAGATGCCGGGGATTGAACCTGGGACCTTCTGCATGCAAAGCAGGAAAGCCCCTAACCCTTTAACATCACCTACAACATCATCCTTTTAACTGGAGATGCTGGGGATTGAACCCGGGACCTTCTGCATGCCAAGCAGAGGCTTTTGCCACTGAGCCACAGCGCCTCTTTACAGCTCTCCAGGGTCTCAGGCGGAGGTCTTTCCCATCACCTTTTGCCTGGTCCTTTTAACTGAAGATGCTGGGGATTGGACCCGGGACCTTCTGCATGCCAAGCAGAGGCTTTTGCCACTGAGCCACAGCGCCTCTTTACAGCTCTCCAGGGTCTCAGGCGGAGGTCTTTCCCATCACCTTTTGCCTGGTCCTTTTAACTGAAGATGCTGGGGATTGGACCCGGGACCTTCTGCATGCCAAGCAGAGGCTTTTGCCACTGAGCCACAGCGCCTCTTTACAGCTCTCCAGGGTCTCAGGCGGAGGTCTTTCCCATCACCTTCTGCCTGGTCCTTTTAATGGGAGATGCCGGGGATTTACCCTGGGACCTTCTGCATGCAAAGCAGGAAAGCCCCTAACCCTTTAACATCACCTACAACATCATCCTTTTAACTGGAGATGCTGGAGATTGAACCTGGGGCCTCCTGAAGGCCTCCTGCTGTTGGGTGTGGCCTGTTATGCTAATGAGCTCCTGCTGGGCGTGGCCAACTTGGGAGCCAGCCGGAACTCCGTTCCTGTGCGTTCCTGCCCAAAAATAGCCCTGAAGGTATATATTGTTCTTTAGGTTTTTCTGTCAATGTACTATAATCAATAAGATACGCCAGGGTCTTTATTGTATATTTAAGTATATGATTTAAACGAAAATATGAAGACATAGTAACACATCAGAATTGCGTGTTGTGTTTGAATGTGGTGTTTTCCCACGTTTGCTCGGCCTTGCCGTGTTTCCCGCGTGTCTGTTGACCCTCCAGGTGGAGCCTGGAGATATCCCTGAATCACAACCTGGTCCCCAGACTGCAGAGATCAGTCCCCCTGGAGAAAATGGCTACATTGGAGGGTGGACTCTATGGCATTGTGCCCCACGGAGGTCTTTCCTCTCCCCAAACCCTGCCTTTCACAGGTTCCACTCCCCAAATCCCCAGGAATTGCCTGACCTGGAGTTGGCAACCGTAGGCACATAGGCCAAACCTGGACCTTGGGGAATCTTCTCATTTTCGGTAATGGGAGTCTTCTCTACTGGCAGGGAAAGGGGGTGGGCTTTGGCCCTTTCTCCCACCCGCTGCAGACGCCCACTTCGTGTTCCGTCCTGTTTGTGAGGGTCCCCCGAGCCTCCAGGAGTAGAATTGGGGGGCGGGGTCTCAGTGGGCTGGAGGAAGGAGAGGGGAACGGCCGTTCTGCAATCTCTGTGCCACTTGCAGTCCATTGTATACATAAGTTCCTGTCTGGCCCCACCAAATTTTCACGCGAGGAAGGATAAAAACGAAACGCCGTAAGAAAAGGCCTCGTTTCGGCGTTTCCGGCCAGCAGGGGTCATTTCCTGCAGGAGCGCACAGGAGCGGAGCTCCGGCAGTAAAGGGCCCAGGGGGCGGGCACATGCAACCAAGCCCCACCCCCTGCTCCCAGCAGCCCTCAGTCAGAGCAAGAAGCAGCCAGGTAAGCTGCAGAGCACCCACCCTGGGCCCCTGGTCCAAAACAGTCCAGTGGCACATTTAAGACCAAGTTTTATTCAGGTACAAGCTCTCCCTCTTCTGCGAGGGCAGATCTGCACGTTCACCCCCCCAATAGCTAGCAATCCAAAACAGTCCAGTGGAGCCTGAGCGGTGGGCGTGGCCTTCTGACACACTTCCGGTGATGCCAGGGGGTGTGGCATATGCAAATAAGTTATGCTAATGAGTTTTGCTAATGAGCTCCTGCACCTCTTTTTCTACGAAATGACCCCTGCCGGCCAGCGAGATTTATTTTGTGGACGTGGGAGAGGTCATTCAAAGACTATGAGCCGTGATAGCTAAGTGGAACCTCCATGTTTAGAGGCAGCATACCCCTGAATACAGGTTACTGGCTTGGCCTACTACAGAGGAGTCTTTGCCACGCGTGTCCCTGCCTGTGGGCCTTTGGGGGCGTCTGATTGGCCACTGAGAGACACAGGACGTTGGGCCAGACAATCCATTGGTTGGGATCCCGAGAGTCTGGAACAAAGGTGCCCAAACTGTTCGAGCCTGTGGGCACCTGTGGAATTCTGACTCAGCGTGACCACAAAATGGCTGCCGCGGGAGGTGAAGCTGGCCACAAAATGGCTGCCACGGGAGGCGGAGCCAGCCACAAAATGGCTGCCGCAGCTTGTCTTCAGTCACACAGTGAAGATCCTTCTGCTGTGGTGGTAGCTGCACAGCCAATAAAAAAAATGTGCACAGCCAATCCAATCTCCAGTGGCCAATCAGAAGCCTCGTTGGGCAGATGATGTGTCTGGCCCTGCTCTAGCAGTTGGCCATTCTCACGTCCCAAGAAAAAGCGGTTGTTTTGTCTTCCTTGACTGCTTATACAAGATCTTTGCTTTCCGGAAGGTCCCAGAGAAGAGATTGTGTACCTGCCCTGTATCTACAGGAACACTGGAATCCAGAAGCCGGACTACTTAGCCACGGTTGACGTGGACCCCAAGTCTCAGAACTACTGCCAGGTATGTTTCGTTTCGTCTTCCGGCTCCAGTTCTGAGTTCGGGAGCTTCCCTCTGCTGTCCAACTACGGCCGAGCGAGCCTTGCAAGTTGCTGTTGCTCTCGACAGCACCCGTTGGCCGTCCTTCCTTGGACCTCTTTCTGATCCAAAAAAGGTGTGTGTCAGTGTTCCCTCTAAGCTGAGTTAGTGTGAGCTAGCTCACAGTTTTTTAGCCTCCGGCTCACAGATTTTTGTCTTAGCTCAGGAAGGATGGCTCCAGAGCAAACTAATTCATGCAGCAGCCAAATTGCTCGCTCCCAACTTTAATGGCAGGAGTTCACCAACTAGAATTTTTGCTCACAGGACTCCACAGCTTAGAGGGAGCCTTGGTGTGTGTGTGTGTGTGTGTTGTTCGCTTAGTGAAACTGAGGATCGGTCTACATATGCGCCCAGATAAGGTGACAGAACCAATTGTACGTTGCACCCTTTGATGCCCAGCTTTGGAACAGGGTAGACGTGACCTTATTCTGATTCCAGTTGAGAAAGTTGTATGGAAGTAAGGCACAGACCATATGACTTTCTTATGTGACGGAAAAATCTTCTGGGGGAAGCATCGGG